GGTTATAGACTAGACTATAGACTAGACTATAGACTAGACTATAGACTAGACTATAGATGACTATAGACTATAGACTATAGACTAGACTATAGACTAGACTATAGACAGACTATAGACTAGACTATAGACTAGACTATAGACTAGACTATAGACTAGACTATAGACTAGACTATAGACTAGACTATAGACTAGACTATAGACTAGACTATAGACTAGACTATAGACTAGACTATAGACTAGACTATAGACTAGACTATAGACTAGACTATAGACTAGACTATAGACTAGACTATAGACTAGACTATAGACTAGACTATAGACTAGACTATAGACTAAACTATAGACTAACTATAGACTAGACTATAGACTAGACTATAGACTAGACTATAGACTAGACTATAGACTAGACTATAGACTAGACTAGACTAGACTATAGACTAGACTATAGACTAGACTATAGACTAGACTATAGACTAGACTATAGACTAGACTATAGACTAGATATAGACTAGACTATAGACTAGACTATAGACTAGACTATAGACTAGACTAGACTATAGACTAGACTATAGACTAGACTATAGACTAGACTATAGACTAGACTATAGACTAGACTATAGACTAGACTATAGACTAGACTATAGACTAGACTAGACTAGACTATAGACTAGACTATAGACTAGACTATAGACTAGACTATAGACTAGACTATAGACTAGACTATAGACTAGACTATAGACTAGACTATAGACTAGAATATAGACCAGACTATAGACTAGACTATAGACTAGACTATAGACTAGAATATAGACCAGACTATAGACTAGACTATAGACTAGACTATAGACTAGACTATAGACTAGACTATAGACTAGACTATAGACTAGACTATAGACTAGACTATAGACTAGACTATAGACTAGACTATAGACTAGACTATAGACTAGACTATAGACTAGACTATAGACTAGACTATAGACTAGACTATAGACTAGACTATAGACTAGACTATAGACTAGACTATAGACTAGACTATAGACTAGACTATAGACTAGACTATAGACTAGACTATAGACTAGACTATAGACTAGACTATAGACTAGACTATAGACTAGACTATAGACTAGACTATAGACTAGACTATAGACTAGACTATAGACTAGACTATAGACTAGACTATAGACTAGACTATAGACTAGAATATAGACTATAGACTAGACTATAGACTAGACTATAGACTATATAGACTATAGATATATAGACTAGTCCATAGGCTAGATTATAAACTAGACTATAGACTAGATTATAGATTTCAAATTCAATCACCACCCTAAGGAACATCGTCCATTGACAGTAAATGACGAATTCTGTGTAGGCGAAAAAATAGGTGTTTAGGTCAAATAACCCTTTCACGTATACGGGACACCGGTGTCCCAAGATTTTTTTCTAATTTTTCTCGATTTTGAGCGTAATTTTAACTTCACAGCTGAAGTAAAAGTTATTGCCAGAGAAAAATAAGTATTTTTTTTAGAATTTGATGTCACTACATGCTAAAAAGGATTATATCCTGCGATATCCTTCGAAAACACTTTTTCATCAAAAGTGATCAATATACGTCAAAACAATGTGTGTGGTGAATTCATATCCGTAAAAAGTCCAGCGGTTTAGTTTTGTGCGTGAAAGGGATAACCCCAAGGAATCGTTTCACTCGAAAGCACATTCTTAACCGGGGATTGCAATAGGATAAAAGTAATATAAGATTTCTCTAAAGTAACATTGTCCCTGGGGTAATAGAAATCTTTCTGACAGTATACATGTTGAAGTCAATTTTCTGAAGACGATATCTCCGTTACCAAAACCTTGAATATTTTTATTAGATATGTTATCGAGAAAATCGCTATTTAAAATCAGTAAAATTATCAAAATTCTGACAAAACCTAGAAATTTTATAATATATCGGATGATATTTTCCATATAAATAAAGATATTGAAAAAATCTTTCACTCAGTGAGTCCGGGGTGGTTTTGATTCATGCCAGAGACTATTTTACAATTCTAAAATACAATTTAAATTGATTAATTTGAACAAAATCATGATTCATATTAATTAAATTTAATTATTTTGTATACATGTATTTAGTTAGTATAAAGTATTTTAGTATATTTTTCATTCAACATGAATCGCATTAATGATTTTTTTTTACAACGAACACTCAACCAACCCATCTAATTAACTTCGAATCTTTTCTTCTCTATATATGCTATATTGTTTGAATTTAAGGTACAATCACATTGAACAAATATTTGACAACATAATAATTTGTCAGCACGTTTTTGTATTATGTTTGCCAAATATTTGAACAATGTGAACCAACCTTTTTACTCTTATTGTAAAACAATAACATTTAAAATATTTTAATTGATGTTTTTTTTTTTGTAATTTTACTTACATGTTTGTTATTTTAAATGCTATGTATATTTTGCAGTTGTTGTTGTGTTTTTGTTGCTGCAGTTGTTTGTTGTATGAATTGATTTTAATCGTTGATATGTACTGTACTCTGGTAATTCGCAATTGAGTGTAATTAAAGAAGCGTGCAACAAGTGAAAATCAGTTGAAAATATAATAAAATTATCTTTCTTTTCGTATTTGTATTTTCTGTTCATCTGTTCATCTGTAAAGATAAATAAAAATAAATGTAATTAATTTTTAAGAGATTTCTGTTTTTCAATTCGATACGAAAAAAACATTTAATTATTTAATTGTTTGATTTATTATCTTATGCAATTTAATATACAATTACCAATAAATTGCATAAATAATGGAGAATTTTATTTTTGGAAGAAAAGATAAATTTACGAGAAACTAAAAAATATCAGAAATGGGTTATAGTGGCTACAATTTTATGTAAGATTTGAAAGTAGACCAGTAATCTTTTTTGCACAAATGGAAAGGAGGATAAAAGTAACAATGCAACATTTTTAAAAAGTTTAATTTGTATTTAATTCCTTATTGTAAATAAACTAAGAAAAATCAATTAATACATACTAGACTATAGACCTGACTATAGAATAGATTAAATTCTAGACTATGGATTATATTAAAGGCTATACTATAGAATAAACAACATAGTAGACTATATAAAAGACTAAAGACTAGACTAGAGATTAGACTATAGAAAAGACTATAGACTAGACTGTAGACTAGACTGTAGACTAGACTGCAGACTAGACTGTAGACTAGACTATAGTCTAGACTATAGTCTAGACTATAGACTAGACCATAGACTAGACTAAAAACTAAACTATAGACTAGACTAAAGACTAGACTATAGACTAGACTATAGACTAGACTATAGACTAGACTATAGACTAGACTATAGACTAGACTATAGACTAGACTATAGACTAGACTATAGACTAGACTATAGACTAGACTATAGACTAGACTATAGACTAGACTATAGACTAGACTATAGACTAGACTATAGACTAGACTATAGACTAGACTATAGACTAGACTATAGACTAGACTATAGACTAGACTATAGACTAGACTATAGACTAGACTATAGACTAGACTATAGACTAGACTATAGACTAGACTATAGACTAGACTATAGACTAGACTATAGACTAGACTATAGACTAGACTATAGACTAGACTATAGACTAGACTATAGACTAGACTATAGACTAGACTATAGACTAGACTATAGACTAGACTATAGACTAGACTATAGACTAGACTATAGACTAGACTATAGACTAGACTATAGACTAGACTATAGACTAGACTATAGACTAGACTATAGACTAGACTATAGACTAGACTATAGACTAGACTATAGACTAGACTATAGACTAGACTAGTCTAGGTCTATAGAGTAGGCTAGACTCTAGACTAGACTATAGACTAGACTATAGACTAGACTATAGACTAGACTATAGACTAGACTATAGACTAGGACTATAGACTAGACTATAGGACTAGACTATAGACTAGACTATAGACTAGACTATAGACTAGACTATAGACTAGACTATAGACTAGACTATAGACTAGACTATAGACTAGTACTATAGACTAGACTATTAGACTAGAACTATAGATTAAAACTATAGACTATATTATAGACTAGACCACAGTCTAGACTATATACTATCGACTAGACTAGAGACTAGACTGTAGACTAGACAATAGATTAGACTAAAGAATAGACTATGTCTAGACTATAGACTAGACTATAGATTAGACTGTAGACTAGACTATAGACTAGACTATTAGACTAGACTATAGACTAGACTATAGACTAGACTATAGACTAGACTATAGACTAGACTATAGACTAGACTATAGACTAGACTATAGACTAGACTATAGACTAGACTATAGACTAGACTATAGACTAGACTATAGACTAGGACTATAGACTAGACTATAGACTAGACTATAGACTAGACTATAGACTAGACTATAGACTAGACTATAGACTAGACTATAGACTAGACTATAGACTAGACTATAGACTAGACTATAGACTAGACTATAGACTAGACTATAGACTAGACTATAGACTAGACTATAGACTAGACTATAGACTAGACTATAGACTAGACTATAGACTAGACTATAGACTAGACTATAGACTAGACTATAGACTAGACTATAGACTAGACTATAGACTAGACTATAGACTAGACTATAGACTAGACTATAGACTAGACTACAGACTAGACTATAGACTAGACTATAGACTAGACTATAGACTAGACTATAGACTAGACTATAGACTAGACTACAGACTAGACTATAGACTAGACTATAGACTAGACTATAGACTAGACTATAGACTAGACTATAGACTAGACTATAGACTAGACTATAGACTAGACTATAGACTAGACTATAGACTAGACTATAGACTAGACTATAGACTAGACTATAGACTAGACTATAGACTAGACTATAGACTAGACTATAGACTAGACTATAGACTAGACTATAGACTAGACTATAGACTAGACTATAGACTAGACTATAGACTAGACTATAGACTAGACTATAGACTAGACTATAGACTAGACTATAGACTAGACTATAGACTAGACTATAGACTAGACTATAGACTAGACTATAGACTAGACTATAGACTAGACTATAGACTAGACTATAGACTAGACTATAGACTAGACTATAGACTAGACTATAGACTAGACTATAGACTAGACTATAGACTAGACTATAGACTAGACTATAGACTAGACTATAGACTAGACTATAGACTAGACTATAGACTAGACTATAGACTAGACTATAGACTAGACTATAGACTAGACTATAGACTAGACTATAGACTAGACTATAGACTAGACTATAGACTAGACTATAACTAGACTATAGACTAGACTATAGACTAGACTATAGACTAGACTATAGACTAGACTATAGACTAGACTATAGACTAGACTATAGACTAGACTATAGACTAGACTATAGACTAGACTATAGACTAGACTATAGACTAGACTATAGACTAGACTATAGACTAGACTATAGACTAGACTATAGACTAGACTATAGACTAGACTATAGACTAGACTATAGACTAGACTATAGACTAGACTATAGACTAGACTATAGACTAGACTATAGACTAGACTATAGACTAGACTATAGACTAGACTATAGACTAGACTATTACTGTATATCTATAGCCCATCTATAGACTAGACTACAGGATAGACAATAGACTAGACTATAGACTAGTATTAGTAGTTGAAAGCCCATTCAAGTGCAATGGAACTGGCATCAATATACTCGATTAATTTTACTCTCATTTAAAGTGTTCTCTTGCAGCCTATCACTGATTTGAAGTGATCAACACAACAGCAACCTATCTCAACTGTTATTCAGTTAAAACTTTTAAATGTTAGTTTTCAATTATTTTAATTTTTTCTTACAAATTTTCAACAATCCAAGTTAAAATGCAAAAATCGTTTAAAAACCTTAATCCAAAACTCGTGTCTACATTAAACTATTTCTTTTTTTTGTTGGTGTTATTATTAAACACACAAACCAAGTTAAATACATGTACTCATTCATATATTCAACCTAATGAAAAGAAATGAAGTTTGAAATAACGAAAAAAAATTGTTTGAATGAAGCTTCATTAAATATTCAAAACGTTTAACGTAGACCAAAAAAAAAAAAAAAACATAAACATTTTTATTTATTAAAACAATTCAAATATCTATTTTAATGATTTGCATTTTTTTCATCAACAAAATTAAACCAAATAAAGAAGTTATAAATATTTTAAAAGTTTTTTTTTAACCTAAACTAACAGCAGTTGTAGTATTACAAGTATTTTAAAAATTATAGTAGGCCTTTTTTTAAGTAACTTTATATATAAATTTAACATAATTTTTAAATAAATTAATTAAAATGCCATTTAGTGTCATTTTTAATTTTTTGGAATTTTATATTTTTTATCTTTAAATACAAATTTAAATGTCACATTTAACATCTTTAACGTCTTGAGCATTGTACCCTGTTTTAAAACTTTAGCACTTACTTAAATTCTTTTTTTTACACAAATTTAAAGTTTATTAAATTTGTATTTTTGTATTTAAATTTTTTATTTATGGTTTTCATATTAATTTTTAATTCTTAATAATTCTTTTTTTATTATAATTTTTCTTTATCTTTTTTTCCACTTATTTTATTGTTGGGTATTCATTCTTTGGGTTTTGAGTGTTTGATTTTTTTTAAGAATTTCTCAAGGGTCATTATAACAGGTCTCTTAAGTCAATTTTTAAAGGTTTTTTTCTTTGTCTTTTTTTCTTTGTAAGAAAAATAAAACAATACAAATAAAAATAAATCATACAATATTGAGGGGTATTGTATTTTTTTGTTTATCGGGTTGTTTCAATAATAAATAAAAGACTTAATTCTTTTTTGGAATTAATTAGTCTAAATTACAAAAATTTAAGAAATGAGTGTCTTTGTAGACGACTGTTTAGCTGAATAAAGGTGTTAATTTTAAAGTTGAGGTTAAAGTTTCATTAAATGTTTTTATTGTTTAAATTTTATATACAACTTTTACAAAGGTTCTCGTCTAGGGACCTTTCTATAGACTATTCCATATTCAGTCAATTGGCTAGTCGGTTGACTAATATATTGACTGGTCGGCTGATTAGTCTTGGGACTATTCTTGTAGTAAGTCAATTGAATTGACAACTGACTAATCTGCTGACTACTCTATTGACTACTGGTTACTAGTTTTCCTGCTAGTCGACTGAATAGTCTATTGACAAGTCGAATGATTGGTCTACTGACTAGTTGACTGACTACTGGATTGACTAGTTTTACCGACTAGTCGACTGAATAATCTACTGACAAGTCGAATGATTGGTCTACTGACTAGTTGAATGACTAGTCAGCTGACTAGTCTACTGACTAGGCTACTCTACTAACTAGGCTAGGCTGACTAGGCTACTCTACTAACAAGGCTACTGACTACTCTAGTGACTAATCTACTCATTTGTCTACTGACTAATCTACTGACTAGTCTACTAATTTGTCTAATGACTAGGCTACTGACTAGTCGACTGAATAATCTATTGAATAGTCGACTGACTAGTCTATTGACTGACTAGTCTACTGGCTAGT